GGCAGTGTGATATAATCAGTCTGCCAGGCCTCCCCATATTTGTACTTCTGCCATTGTCCTCCATATCAAAGAGGCTTTAACCGCTTCGCTTGCTTAATTGCAGCACATTTCACAGTCATGAATAACCTGGGCAGTAGTGTCCATTGTTAAATCCACCCCTCAGTCACCACCCCATCTGTATACTGCATCTCTGCCCTCATGGCCTGAAGTGTCATGGGCCCACCGGGCCAAAAAAATTCACCCCTATGTTGACAGTCTAAGTCCATCTAAGACCATGAGCTGACCAGCAGCTTAGTCAGGAACCAGAAGCCATGAGGAGTGTAGAATTGTTCTGGTGATGGGGTGGTAGATTGAGTCTATGAAGATCTGACTTCAGTTTCTTGTCCTCTGGTTTAATTGCCTGATAGTATGTGTCTATCTCAAGTGGCGCTGTAAGAAATGTATTAAGTGCATAAACACTTTGAAATAATGGGGAAGAGACATGTAAGTACTGAGATGGTCCAGAAGAGATGTCAAGACCCTGTGATGACGGAGGTTTTGCCTCTCCAGTTACTGGCTCCCTAGACATTAAATATCTGAGTTTATTTAAGGGTTTATCACTTTTGTACTTTCCAGGCTATCTTACACATTTTTTTTTCATCCCTGTTCACTGAATTCAGCATTTTTGCAGATGCTAATGAAACATAAACGTTTTACCATGGGTCAGGGCTTCCTTCAGACGTGAAAGACCCATCATTAACTCTTCTACTTTGTCCTGTCCCAAGAAAATTCTGTGAAGCTGGCACCACCAAGTAATCAAGAAAGTTTTAGATAAAAATGAGTACATGATTCACCTCTTTCATTTTCACTAATTTCAGGAGTGGTTTAGTTTTCCAAGGGCTGAGCATTGCTTCTCACTCTACTTGGCAAATTATGTGCACCATACTGACCAGTAACGCAGGATTTGTTGTCTTTCACAATGGAGAGTATTTACATGGAAAAAATATTGCTGGCTTTTGTTCATGTCAGTGTTTTCTAGGAATACAGCTCTGCAATTCGACCATCTTTTCTTCTAATTGTATTGTAACGCTTTCCAGTTCTGTTCCAGTGTGTAAATAAGGGTCTCCAAAGAAAATGAATAAATTGTGATATTTTAATCCCACTAAATTAATTTCTTTCAGCTGCTGGCTATTACTTTCCTTCTCTGCATGTTGTTGATTTGTAATGAAGAGCTGGGGTTACTGATTTTTGCCTGGACCCAATCACCTCCCTGTTTTGTGAGTTGTTGTAAAACTGACCGCTGTGGTACAGGCAAATGGTGTCATGCCTTTGCCATGATGAATTCTCACTTCAACCACCCGGCAGCAGGTGAGCAGCTGAGGGAAGCAGCATGTTTGGCCAGTGAAGGAATTCCAGGATTTTCTGTATTGCTCCAAGGCTCCCTGTGGATTGCAGATTCTCAACTGGAAAGTAAGGGCAAGATGCTCAAGGAGATGATTTTTGACCATCAAGGAAAACACCACTTCCTGGGAGCTCGCCCTCTGAAGTTTGCAGCACTGCGTTTTATCACTCTCTCTCTGTTCTGGCAATGTTCTTAGCTGTGACATACCACTGGTACTGCTGTCACAGCAAAGATTTGAGTTGTTCCTTGTGACGGCAGGGTGAAAACCTGCTGAAGACCTGTGGCCCAGATGGCCCTGTGTCTCTTTGTAAGGCTTGTGCATGAGCTTTTGCTGTGAGAGAGAACAAGTTTCTTTCACAAGAACACATCATTTTTCCTAACATTTATCTGAAGGCTTCCTCTAGAGAGAGGAAGGTAAATACTGACCTACTTCACAAATTGAAGCTCTTGGATTTGGTCGCTTTTATTCCCAGAAGTGGTTCTTTTTTGTTACACTTGCTCCCACAACAGGCTCCTTGCCCTTTCAACGCTGTCTTTCTCTCACTGTCTGATCTTAGGATGACTGCAGGAATACAGAGTTTTCCAGTTGTCTTATTTGCATTACAAAATTATCTCCTGTAATCAGTCACTGAGTCTGGCCAAGCACACCCAGGGCTGCCTCTCACAACCAAACAAGTGATGTAAGCATGATAGACAAAGAGGAAAATATACTAAGCTGATCCAGGGGGGATATGAAGCTTCCTGCTGCCAGTCAGAGTAGTAACAGCTTGTTTAAAAAGGCAGTGGGTGGATGTTGACCAGCACTAATTTTAGATAACTAGGATCTGGTGTCAGGAGAATGGGGGTTTAGTTTGCAGGGAGCATGTGAGAGCAACACACAGGGGGAATGGAAGAAGGGCACAGGTGAAAGCAACTTAGGGGTTAGACTAGTTTATAGCTGCCCTTCTCCACTGGAGTCAATAACCACAGGGTTATTCTCTGAAAGAGTAACTCCATGTTTGCTCTTCACTCTCTGAGTTAAATATTGGTTAATGAAAACTAGTACTGCTCCTGCAGCTCCAGTCTTTCCAAAAACAGAGTTAGAGATTGAATTGAGAATTGAAGTGTCTGGCACAGGGCTGGGTCCCAGCAAATAAATTGCTTACACTGAGTTTTCCAGCACTGACTTAAGTCTGTCTACGTTGAAGTCTACTGCAAAACTCCCTCTCTGAGCCCAGGCAGTGCATGTTCAGCATCCCACCCGAGTCTTGTTTAAGAGGAAAGGGTATCCCTGCTTCCATCCTGTTCCCAGTGAGGGGAACAGTGTAAGCATGGAGAGCTGGGGCAGCACAGAAGCTGGTGGGTGTGTCAGTGCAAATACATACAATTGGTATTTGCAGTTTACTCCAGAATAGCAATGTATGTATGGGAATGCCCTCTTATTCAAAAGCAGATGACAAACTGTTTATATGTTTTAATCAACTAATAAATTATGTGCTTACTCACCTACAGGTTGATTAAATGGTGAGGTTTTCTACAAAGAATAAACATGGCCCAGAAAGGAAACTTGGGAGAAGAGGAAATGCAGTTTACAAAATGTCTGTTCTCTGTTATACTGACCTCCTAAAACTCAGTGGCTCTTGCACTACTGCAGCCAGCCCCACTGCACTGCTGCTGGGCTGAGCCCTGCCTTTTCATAGTCCTAGAATGGTTTGGGTTGGAATGGGCCTTAAAGACCATTTAGTTCCCACCCCCTGCCGTGGGCACGGACACTTTCCACTAGAGCAGGTTGATCCAAGCCCCGTCCAACCTGGCCTTGAACACTGCCAGGGATGGGGCAGCCACAGCTTCTCTGGGCAACCTGTGCCTGTGTCTCACCAGCCTCACAGGGAAGAATTCCTTCCTAATACCTAATCTGAATCTCACCTCTTTCAGTTTAAAATCATTCCTCCTTATCCTATCTCTAAAGCCCTAATAAAAAGTCCCTCTCCAGATTTCTTGTGCTCCTATAAACCAGGTGTGTATTCAAGCCCACAGTGTGCACTGCTTAGCAAGAATTTGCACCATCTTCTATTCCTGCTCATCTGTCACTGGATGCCATTTTACTCTTTCCCCTAAAATTTTACAGGTGACTCTGAAAGTGCTTGTGTGCAGGTACGAGTTGTTCTGAATTGCATTAACACAAAGCATCTCGCTGTCTTTACAGCCCTGTGCCACATTTGCTTTTCTGGAAAAGGGCTGAAATAAAGCATCATTGAGACCATAATATCAAAGTGTGGGAGACTCTGGATTTTGTTTCTAATTCCTGTCCTGTGTTTTAATTCTTTTTAAATCACACGTGCTCTTAAACCATAGTATCTGGCTGTTTTACATTGTGACCAAACTTTGATTAAAGCAGTTTTGATACCTTTGGCTTCATTTTCAAACTGTGACTAAAAAGACAACTACAGGTTATTCAAATGCAGCAGTAGAGACTGTGGACTAAAATATATGTGCTATACATATATTGTGCACTTTGAGGTCATTTTTATGAACTATTTAAATACCAGTCATTAAACTTTTATACTGCAGAGCTGAGTAGCAACTTGACTTAAACACTCAATAACACAAGTGTTTTTATTAGCCTTGCAGCTACTGGGCTGTGAACTGTAGTTACTGTACAGTCTTCCAGCTATGCTCTTGTTTTCAGGAACTATATTTAGCAGTTTGAACCATATAAAATGTTAACACCAGACTGATAGGAAATAAAAGTCTGTATAAGCCTTGCTGTTGTTTTTTTTCACTGTAGTGCGAGAAGGAGTTAAGTTTCTAAAATGAAGCAACAATTTGAATGCTGATCCAGCCTCTTCAGGAAGAGCTGTCACAGCCTGACTTGCCTCAGCACTGCTTATCATGGGAAAACTTATTTCAGGGCCTCTCTGACAGCAAAGCCTTTATTTCCAAGGAGACTGACAATAGGCTGAAAAGCAGGGGATTTTTCTAACGAACTGACGCGTCATAGGATGTCTTTTAATAATGAGTAAATGCCAGCAGCCAGCAGAAAATCTTTTGGTTTCCCAAAAATTCCCAATGATTTTCCTAAATTATGTAAGGCAGACATAATGCACTCTCCTCTGCCCATCAGCATGGCCTTTAGCTACTACTCGCTGCAGAGAGCCCAAGAATGTCTGTGTTACACTTATGCCTAGGACTTTTGACCCACCACACTGGTCTGCAGCTAGGTGTGCAGCTTGGTTGGGTGCTGTATGCAGTTTGCTATCAAACACACTTATTTCAGGAGAAAACGTGTTACCACTGTTGTCATTAATAGTCTTGGCTTTGTAGTGAATTCAAAATATGTAAGGCAAAATTAACCCCACTGAATGCCTTAGTCTGAGCTGATTGTCTTCACCACCAGTAGAAAGAGGTAGGAATACAGGTGTTTTTTTCTTAGACTAGATCAAATAAATTGTTGTGGAAAAGCCTGTTTTCTCTCAACTGATTTACACTGAGAATCCCAACAAGTAATTCAAATGCTCACAGCTCAGGTAAGGCAAATCCCATCCTCTGTGTCTGGAAATACAACCCTCTCATCAGGAGGTGGACTTCTCTAAAATCTGTGCCCCCAGTGTTTCCCCTCTTAATCCATTCAAAATTGATCTCTCACAGAAATAGCAAGCACCGATGGCTTAACATGTTATTTCTTTTCATGCCTACTGTCATGCAGCCATCTCTCCGCTGGATCCTGCCATGTCTGGTTGTGGTATGTGTTGAAACCTACTTCATGGTGTCTTGACACAAACAGGATGATATTCACCCCTGACTCCATAAAGTAATGTGGAAGGCATTTGGCAGCGTTCCTAAATTCTTGCTGTTTAAACGTGAGGAAGCAGGTCACTTCTGCATACCAGCATTGATTTATAGAAACTGAATGCCATGAGGAATCCTTCCCTTTAAACTAAGCGGGTGATGCAAGGGCGAGTTTCTACTCCCAGTTGTCAGTTTGATCCCAGTCACCCTCACACAGTGAAAGAAGTCACCAGCCTGTCAAGTACAGTAGTCAAACATAGTTTAAAACATTTACTACTTCTTTCCTGATGTCCTTCGTGAGGGCTACTGAGGGAATGCTCCTCCTTATTTCTCTGAGTGTTTTAAATGTTTTGGGGTAGCTTCCCCAAGCCTTGATTTTGCTTTAATGCCCCCCCATTTTTCTTCCAACTCAAAGAACACAAGTTTACTGTGTCTTGAGACAGCAGGTGCGTAGTCACAATGGGAGAGACTTTGCACCGCTCTCCCCCATGATGAGAACACCTGAACCCAATTTCTTTTTAACGCTGTGATGGCATCCTTCTTCCCCTCAACAGCAAGCACACTGCAGTACTGTGCAGTTAGCAGCTCTGCAGTTACACTGTGTTGGCAATGACGCTAAGTTCTTGCACGAGTGGATTTAAACTTTCTGGGAGAGCTGTTCCAGCACCTCCATTAGCTTCTCCTTGTCCTCAAGTGGACTGTGGGTGCCTGCCAGGGGTAAGTGCGTACGGACTGGTTGCCTGGCTGGAAGGCAAAAAATAAAAGCCCTTATAGATACATTTAACTGGTTCTTCTATCACAAAGGATGTGTATTCCTCAAGACACTATACCACCCAGATAGATCTCATGGTGTTAACGCTAGGAAACTTACACTCTAGGGATCTGAAAACACTGTTAAATATATCTTCCAAAACAGAAATCAAGTTAATTTAAACTGTATTCTGGGAATAGAGTTCTTGTCCTTTAGCATGGTGGGACCTAGACTGGGGAGCAAGAGCTCGGTTGTAGGTCGGGGCAGTACAGATAAAGGAAGGCCTTACTGTGGATTTATGCCTCCTGTTCCCTGTCACTAGTGCAAATCCTGCAGACCAGTAACTTGAAATTATTGCTACAGGCAGAGGTTGGGTTTGCAGCATGAGACAAGATTTTTCCTTGCTTCCTGAATAATGTTTCTGGTGCTGCACAAATTCCCCAACTGGGACCTTTTAGTTTGGATTACTTTCAGTCTTCTAATGCTTACTTTCATGCTTAAAAGTAATGGTTAAAGTCTAAATGCTAAAGAACTTCAGCTAACTGCACAATCACCAGAAGTAACATGTATTCAACATAAAGATGTCTGACCATATTTTCTCAATTTGACGCTTTGCTTGCTTTTCCAAATCTCATACTCTTCACTCACTCTGGAAATATAGCTATATCACCATCCATTTCAAGGGATTTTTCCCTAAGGACATGGAGTCTAGAGCCTGGGAACCTTGTGACAATGCTCTCAGATGTCTGTGCAACTGCAGTCAGAGCAGCACTGTTAGTCTGTTTAGTAAGTCCAACTTCTGCAGTAACCATCTGAGACCAGAAGAACGAGCTGTTGCAATACTGGGCGGCAGATTTCTCTGAAAACCTATCAGACTTCCCAGGGGAGCAGAGATGTTTGCTCTCTTAAGAGCAAATGTTATAACTGGCTGCACACACCACATAACCTCTGCTCATGGAAAACTGAGTGTCGTGGTTTAACCCTAGCCAGACAGCTTGTTACCCACTCCCCCCCTTCTTGCCCTCCCCCTACTCCTGGGGGAACGGAGAGGACAATCAAAAAGAAATGCAACTCCCATGGGTTGAGATAAGAACAGTTTAGTAACTAAGGTATAACACAAATCACTACTGCTACCACCAATAATAGTAATGATAAAGGAAATAACAAGGGAAGAGAATACAACACCCCATCACCAGGCGACCGATAACTTGCCCCCCCCCCAGCCCGACCAAGCACCAACCGATACTTCCTCCAACCCTGCAGTCCACTCTCCAACTCTGCAGCCCACCCAGCCCTTCCGGGTAACTCCCAGTTATACCCTGGGCATGATGTGCTGTGGTATGGAATACCTCTTTGGTCAGTTTGGGTCAGGTGTCCTGTCTCTGCTTCCTCCCGGCTTCACTCCTCCCTGGCAGAGCATGAGGCCCACAAAGTCCTTGGCCAAACCAAAACATCATTGTTTTTCAGCTCTGTTCCCAGCTGAAAGTCAAAACACAGCACTGCACCAGCTACCAAGAAGGAGAAAAAATGACTGCTACGGCTAAACCCAGGACACTGAGGAGAGAGAGAAATATGCAAAGGAACATTTCCTTTTCCATCACTGAACATGAACTGCTTCCTACCTAGCCATAGTGCTTCCAGTAGCCTGTGCTAAAGTTTGGGAATTATGTGTGAAAGCCAAGTTCAGCATCATGGAGAAGATGCTTCTCCTGTTTGGAAAGCTGGATTGTGTCAAACACTTCTTATTTACGTTGGCAAATGCAGTGAATCCTGGTTGTAGAAGTCTCATTTCCTTTCATTTATTTAAAAATATTGTAATTTTTAATTAAATTAATTTTATTTTATTAATTTATTTTTTATTTTAAATTTTATTTAAAAATAAAAAAGTTGACTTTGTTGTGCACTCGAAGGGAACAGAATAAAAGAGAACAGAGGAAACAGAGGGAAGGTGTGACTGGTTCAGAAAAAGGCTGTCTAGGGCCAGATGAGCTAAGGGACTAGATGAGGGTCTGTGGCAAGTGCTCCTGCACAAAAAAAGCCCTTTACTGAAAGGGTCTGAAGAGGCTCCATACTAAGCTGTGGTTTCCAAAGGGAAGTAGGAGAGAGAGAAATAACTGACTTCATCACCATTTGATAAGCACGGGACACAGACACAGGATTTCTCTTGCAGCCTTAAGAGCAGTCATGCCAAGACCAAAGCTCTCAAAAGTCTTAGCTATAGCTAAAGAGCCAAGATGTGTCCCCTGTTTACCAAAGCTGGGGGTAGACAAAGCCTAAAGGCAATGGTCCTAGAGAAAGAACAACTGAGCAGAAGCATTAGGACCAGAAGGTGACAGGAGTACAAAAAATGCAAAGTCTGGTTCTACAAAGACTGATGAGCCCGGATGTGGAGTTTCTGCATATCCCAGATGATAATGTAAAGGAGGTCTGGTCAAATACCTGTGAACCAACCCCGTGTGACTGTCTGGGAGGGGACAGAGGGGACAAAGTCAACCCAAGTCCAGAAAAGTCTGAACTTCCTCCATGTTCCACCTAGAAATTCGATGAACCAGTATTTGGAGGCCACATCCAACAAAAGTACTGGGCTTGTGTAAGCAATTACCCTGAGCTTTACCCTTCTCCTTCTGCAGTGACCCTCATCCCCATTAAGACATCTATGCTTCCAGCTGCTCCTACTAAGATGCCCGTCATTTGTCTGGGAGAAAAGAAAGGCTCTGCCCTATTTTTCAGTTCGCTATGCTTATAGTGCCAAAAATGCCACTGTGCACAATCTCCCAGTGTTAGAGAAAGGGGAATTGGCAGTTTTAACTACCATGGAACGGCAAGAAAAGCCTATGAAAGCAAGCCAATCCCCAGAGCTCTGTGAGAAGGACGCTAATTTCTCAGCATCTTAAAAGATGGTATTTGACAGCTGTGATTCACCTTCTCTTGCCACAGTCCTGCTTACAGCTATTTTCATTAAAAAATGCCCAACCCTCCCTAAAGAAAAGCTTTTAAGTCTTTATCAGCTACTTTAGAGGAAAAAAACCAGGGATATAACACAGTTGTTCTCTGGTTGCACAATGATCACTTGAACTTTCAAGCTTGGAATGATCTTGAGAAATACTTTGTCTTTTGAACAACACTTGCCTGGTCTGACCTTCATCCCCTGCCAAACCAGAGGGGGATCCTACAGTTCAGGCAACTTAGGGATCTCCACTGCTATGCAAAGTAAGACACTGCTGCCTTACCTTGGAAGAGCAATCCTCTCAGTAAACTCTTTGCTTCAGATGATAGTGCCATCCACACAACAGCTCCCTGGGCCTCTGTGCACAGGATATTCTTCATATTCTAATAGAAATGGTTGGCCTGTGCAAAGATGTCACATGTGGGAGAAACAGAAATACGCAAACTCGGGTATTCTAACAGGATTTTTAGCTCTTATTTTCTCACCATTTTTATGAAATCAGTTGTAGCACTGTATTTTAAAACTGTGCAGTCATCAGTACCTAAACCAATTACATAATTCATGTTTAAACTCTGGTTTCCCTTTATTTTGTCAAACAGGTGATGACTGAAGGCCCATCCCTCATGGCTGTTTATTTTTGGGGTTGCAGAGTCCTTGAACTTTAAGGTGGGATAACTTCATTAGGCTTGAAATGCATAAAGTCTATGCAACAATAAATGTATTTTAAAGACAAATACATTTAGTTGGAAAGGGCAGCTTTCAAGTGTAAAGTAGATCGGGTAAATGCTTCTGTCATCAGAAGCAAATGTGGGAAACTATCCCTAGAAAAGACCTAGAGACTGGATTGCTAGTCTGCATCCCAAGCTTGGGTGCTAGGGGCTGGTAAGGTATTGTGGAATGCGACCTGTGTACTGGATAACTGATGCCTGCCTGCCGAGCCATGGCCACTGAGGAACAGCTGCAGCTCAAAGGGCTCTCTGGCCAAACATGCTGCTTCCCAACGGCAGTAAATGTTTAGAGGAATGGGAGAGGAACAGAGCTTGCACAACAGTGCACGCTCCGTTTTCCTACATGCGCTTGCAAACTCCCAGTGCCTGCAGGTTGGTACTTACAGAGGCAGAAGCTCTATCTGTGTGTTTAATGGTCCCTCTACAAATGTAACTTAAAGGTTAGCTTAAAGCATTGTGGCTCTGCCGTGCATTTGCTCAGGGCTGGAACCATTCATTGCCCATCATTATTCTCTGGATATACACAAATAGCAGACACTGTGCAGAACAGAGCTACCAAGGGGGTACAAAACTACTTTAAGCACCAATTTGGAGCCAAGAAATCACTGCGCCTGTTGGAGACATCCACTTAGAAAGTTTTATTTCTCTTTGCCTTTAGACTAATCCTGAAAAGACAGAATTACAGTCAGTGTCAAGCAGATACTATCTGGAGTGTCTGTCCAGCTGGGGTGCATAACAGAGAAACGGATGTTTCTGTGAGCTTTTCCCCATTGTTCTGTCAAGACAACTTGCTGTCTCCAGGACAGAGCAAAAATAGCCAGACTAGCATCAAGTTCAACAGCCTGTCCACCAAATTAGTTTCCAGGGAGATAAACTACATCAAATGTGCTGTAAATGCCAGGGCATTTGTGCATAGCAAAAATACAGCCTTGCTCATCCTGACTGGATCTATGGGATAATTTTGTCAGAGACCACCATGGTCATTGCAATCCATATCCTGGCCACAAGCTTACTTTTAAAGTGGTTACAGTGCTTTACTGATCACGTCTGCTACTGCAGACTGTAGGGAAGAATTGAGCAGGCAGAAAAGGGTTTGTCAGCAAGAGACAGTTTTCACCCTTGAGAATTATCTTAAATCAAATGAAAGTCTAGCCATGTTCTCCAGGCAAGATGGTATACATTTGTAAGTCCCTGCCATCCCACTCCTGAAGAGTATTGCTTGTGCAATTTCTGTATAGATTGGGTGCAATGTGCAAGCAACAGTGAACACCTGGCCTTTTTGCCAAGCAGATGGTATAAGCTATCTAGCAAATGTGCTGGGGTTTGTTTTAAAAACATGAACTGTACCTTGGTTTGTGCATACATCATAGTTCCATCAAATGTCCCATTTCCTGACTACAAGTCAGGTATGTTTAGCATGGTATGTTGAACAAGCATGGGCCCAGAAGAGACAGTTATCTGTAATCAAAGGAATGAAAAGCAAATGAATGAAAAACTGAACCAGGAATTCCCCAAAATTGCACTCATGCATGTAATGGGATCTTCAGGCCACATTGGAAGGACCTAGGGAGCAGGATTCTCCGGCATACTCTTTACACTCTGCTTGTACTCATGTGTGGGGCACACCTGGAGGTGAGGTGAAAAAAACAGAATGTTTTTTTAGGAAGTGATTTTCATCCAAAGTGGCGTTGATTCCTTCAGGCAACTTTGTGCTTCTTCCCTTTGGAAAGTAATCGGAAGAAAGAAAACAGTAGAATTGAACTATTTGTAGTTGATACGTTTAGCATTTATAGAAAGTAATTAGAAAATGGGAGGCTGTACAAAACTTGGGAAATTTCATTTCAAACATATACCTGCTGTCCTATTTTACACCAAGATCTCTGAGGTTCTGTACTCCTGTTACAGGTATTTTGCACTACACTGCAGGAGGTAACTTGCCCCAGGGAAAGTAAAAGGGGAAGTTTCCAAAGGAAGTGTTTACTTTGATTTCCAATGAAGGGTTGAGAGTAGCAGGCAGGAGCTTTTGCCTTGGAGAAGGAGTTGGCCTTTAGCAAGATCCAAGAGGATTCTAGAGATTATAACTAATCCTGCATTGCTAGCGCAGTCAAAGAAATGCTGTCACAAACCAGAAGGTAAGAACAGTAAACCACCGCTTTTCAACAGCATCGCATACTCACCAGTCTGGCATCAGCTACTTTTTCCAGGAGGGGCAGCAGAGCAGTTGTCAGAATGTAAGTACCTAAAAGACAGACAGGCACCAACACTAACTTTTAGTTTTGAAAAAGCTTTCTTTTCTCCTCACCCTCTGCAACAACCTAAACCCCAAAGTCTCTTTATTTCTGACACTTGATCTGAATTTGATGATGAGTTTTGTTGCTACTCTATTTGCAACATGCCAACTCAACTTGTAGGGGCCCACGTTGCTGCACATTTACCAAAAGGCACATCAGTCATTTTGTAGACTTTAATGGAGCAAACTGCTCACTACATTCAGCCATGACTTTGAAGGCAAAATGCCTCAGGTACAGATGTCCTTGGGTGGAGGTGATGCCAGTGAAGAAACAGGGAATGCATTTCTCCTCCCTGTGTGACATACATACATGTATCTATGCCAAGTCATGAACAAGAGAAGCAAACTGTGCTTCACACTTGTGTTTCTCAGGGCCTTGCATGTTCACTTAAGACTCACCCATTTTTGCCTTCTCACTGTGAAATCACTCGGAGTATGCTGACACTTTTGATTTGTGCTGCACACGAAAAATGTCTCTTAAATCCCCAGAATGACAATTAGAGAAGATAAAGGAGTCCTTGGCAGGGAGTGGAGGGTGGAATATTAATGTTGTGTGCCCAAGGCTGAGCTACCATTACCTGGGGAAACTTATTGGGTCCATCCCCATTATAGTGTTCATTTAGCTTAGATTTATACGTACCACACAAATATATCCCATTACAGTTGTTACCATGACCAGCAAAGTTTGTTATTCAAAACACTGTTCAACATGAGTGTATGTGAGTCAGACACACCTAGTGATGTTTCACTCGCTCAAGTGTAACACAGGGATTTTTCTTTTCTCTCTTCAGGGATATTTTTCATTTTTTTCCCTTTAAACTGTATTTTAAAAACTGTGTTTTAAAAACTGTTTAATTCCAAATGAATCTGGCCCTATTTAGTCTATTGTTTCTGCTTCAAGTACAATAATCCATCTCTTCTCTTCACAAATGGCTCCAGTTCAACAATTCTATGTCAGTGATAAACATATTATTTTCCATGAGCTGCCAAGGCCATGTTTTCCACTAGACATGAAGACTTCAGCATGTGTCTTTATAACCTCTTTTCTGCAGAGGCAGTGAGATCACCCAGTTAAAATGCAGCCTGTTTATAAATATGCTACCAAAATCAAATGTGTTATATGCTTGGTGCACAAACTGTTCAGCTTCCCTGTCAGTCACAGCGATCTTCATTTCCTCTGTGTAATCAGAGGGACATCCATATGCACACAATATATTTAAGCCCCTGGCAAATGAAACAAGGCAAATGAAACAAAGCAAATGTGCAGCAGATGAGTGAATGCAGCCTGTCTTCAGCAGAAAATGCAAGCAAAGGCAGTTGCTGGTGAATAATGACAGCCCATACGTCTCCCCTGGTAGTGGTGGGGGACTGAAGGATGACATCATGAGGACAAGAGCTACTGCTGACTGTTACAGGAGACTGGCGCCGTGTGAAAACCCCAAATACACCGATTCCTTCAGTACAAGCTGAGAGCATGGATTAAATTCTGATTTGCTATGGATTCTTCAAGTGTGAAGTAACATCATGTCTTGGTTAAATAAGCTGCATCTCCTACTGGCAGAGCTGCAATGCACCAGCTATGATGACACTTTATTTTACTGCCCCACAGATTAATCTACACTTTTAAGGCTTTGTGTTGATTTGTTAATTCTAAAAGGATGCAAAGATGAATGCACTAACATTGCCTCATTAACAACTGAGTTCTGTTTTGTTTTCCGGCTGAATGAGACAAATGTTCAATGCCAAAAAATCCTGCTTATAGCAACTACAGCTTGTCAGAAGTTTATGTGCTTATTTAAAACCACAAAACAACTGCAAAACTAGCATCTCCTCTCTTCCTTAAGTTTATTAACAATTCAATAAATCCCACAGAGTCAGAGCAGTTCATCATTTTGCCCCACAAAACCACATGCTCATTTGCTTTGAGACAGAAGCTAAAAAGACCAATTTTGATCTCAGCTTCATAGAATCATAGAATCATAGAACAGTTAGGGTTGGAAAGGACCTTAAGATCACCAAGATTCAACCCCCCTGCCATGGGCAGGGACACCTCACACTAAACCATCTCACCCAAGGCTTTGTCCAACCTGGCTTCCTATGGTAAGTGCTAGTATCTCATAGGACACACAGCTGGTACACTTCATTAGGCAGGCATTAAGACTGAAGCATTTAATTTCACCCAGTACAAAATATTTCACCAAATATTGTCCTTGTTTTAACTGTTTGAACACAAACTCCTTAGTACTTTAAGCACTACACTTGGATATTGTATGTTCTTGTTTGATTGGGCTGGTTTGTCAGGTAAAACAGCTTGGACCAGAAGTTTAGTACGATATTAGTAGAATAGATGTACCTCATTAATAAGAGTTATATTGCCAATTGGGATACATCACCAATTGAAACCTCCATATCTTTATTCATGTAAAAGCTGGCACATAGTATGGCAGTTACATTCAAACCAACAGGAAGAATGCTAAGCATAGCCAGTGCAGAGGCCTGGCACTGCCACATACCTCATGTCATGTGTTTTGCCAAACACAGCTGCACTGCAGCATGTAGTAATACAGAAATTAATTTCTAAGTGAAAGGGGAAGCTACAGATGAATGCATTGCCTGACACAGTCCCGCTTATAAAAGCAGGAATTGCATTAACAGTATAACAAATGAAAAAAGGAAGAATTCCTTATTTTTGGTAAAAAAACAATTTTGCAAGGAAACCCAAGACTGATTTGGTAGAAGAAACTTCATTCCCTTCTTCCCCCCACTTAAGGAAATTAAGGTAACATCCAAATTATTTATCCTTTTGCTAATAACTCAAAATTAATATCAACACACTGGACATCTGCCTTTCCAAAATGAACATTTCAGCATTTGAGTACATTTCCTTGACACAAACATCACTTATGTCTGTCAAAGGAGAAACTTCCTCCTGCAGAGCTGAATTGAAGATGGTAAAGCATATCAGGTGTGACTAACGCTTAATTATCTCTGTGTTCAAACTGTACAGGTTTGGTTTGGGTTGGTTTTTTTTGTTGTTGTTTAAAAGACCAAGAGAGAACACAAAGGTGCGCATGAAGGGAAAGGTGATGACCAACAGTGGTGTGCCTTGCACCGACAACATTAAGTACTGGGATATCTTGGTGATCCTGCCCCTCTTCTGGGAGGACTTCAGGAATTCTGTCAGAAACAAATGAAGACCTTTTAATTTTTACCAGAAAACAAAAACTGCCACTACTCCCGAGGGTTTCTGAGGAACGCGTGTCCTTGTCTCAAGCAGATACTCTGTGGATGGAGATGCTCAGCCTTGAGGCCACCACATTTCCCAGTATCTGTTTAGCAGCAGCTGTATCTAAAACGGACATGTGGCACCTGGGAGCAGGATGTTTCTGTCTGAATAGTTCTCCTGGACTATAGCCCTTTTCTTGCACAGGTCTGAGTGCCTGCAGGAAAGAGCAGGCTGTTCTGAATTACTCACACGGTGGGAACTTGAGCAGCAGGCTCTCTCTGACACACATCTCAGACCCAGCAGGCAGGGAGCCATGAGTACACCTACATGGCAGTGCTGGACATACAGCTGTACTACCTGCATCTGTAATGGTGTGACAGAGGCCAGATGCTTGTACATCATTTTTTACAGCCATTGGAAAGCATATTGTCTACATGGCCTGAAAGCTTGACTCCCACTGGTGTAGTAGTGGGGAAAAAATAATTTTGCAGTGAAATGGTGTAAAACATCCCTTTAAAAGCTGTTCCACAAAGGAGTCCAGCAAAATGCATCTGGGAGCTTGCTCAGAAGTAGCAGCAAGGCAGAAAAGACTGAGTAACCATCCAGTCTATCACCCCCATGTACAGGATTTCATCTTGCCCTTGCTGAACTCTGCTAGGTGAGAAGTTAACTAGAGAAACCTACTGGACAAGCTATAGCCCAGTTCCACATTATGAGGCTTGACACAGAACTTACTGTCAGTGTTTTCTCCAGCTAAAGAGGCTCCTGGGACTGATGCACAATTTATTTTAAAGGTAAACATCCTCTCAACATTTGCTTTTCTTTGGAAAAATTCCTGTAAGTTGCACGTCTTGAAGCTGAGCTCACATAATAGGAAATCATATATAACAAACACAGTATAATCAAAACCTTCCTATAAGGATAGATCAACTCCATTCAACCAGCTCTATAATACAGTAGGTTAGACACCGTGGGTTGTCAGTCTGCACATTACACATGGTAATTCCAGTAAAAGCAAGGAGCATGGCACTTAATGAGAACACACTTTGTTCACACACACTCCTGCCCAAGCCCTGATCACATGAATGTTTCTTTAAGTTTCATGTTTACTTGCTAAAGGAATTGCACACATTCCCTTGGGGTCTGTTTTGTAATTTCTCTGCTTGCTCCAAGATCTTCTAAATTTCTTCGAGAAATGTCATATTGTGGTCCAATTAACGACTCTTGTTTCTAATGCCATACAGTGAACTCCTTTGTCAACCTGTATGAGCAGTAATTCAGTGCCTTCACAATCACATAGCGAAACTTTGATGACGCAAGCATAGAAAATGGGGAGCTGTTATGGAGAGAAACATTCAATTTGTGTGCAAAGTTGTTTAAAACAAAACACTACAAAAGTCAGCTTGTCAGCTGCACAAACTCCTAAATAAAAGTATGCTCCTTTCACATCACCTGAAGCAGAAGCTGAGGGGACTAGGGAAAACACTGTGCTTGGGTTTTGCAGGAAGGTAGCTCTGAACATTATGGCAACAGTTACTTCTCTGTGGATCCCACCATCTCTACCACAGTTTAACCAAAGTGAAAGCTATCCCCATGCAAGGTACAGAAGTCTAGGGTGTATTGCAGACTGGTCTGTCCCACAGAGAGCTACAAATCGTTCTGTACTAGAACACAAAACTAAGCAAAACACAGAATAACCCTAAGAGAAAATATAAACATTGTGAAAGCAGCGTTCCAAAATGCTGGTGGTAGCAGGCTAAAGCTGAGTTACAAAACCTGGAAGGCTCCTGAGGATTCATATTTCAGAGTTGGAAGTCAACAGGATATCATGTATCGTAATGGCATATGAATACACACTCCTCGCTGCTTTACAGGTTTAAAGTGACCCCAAAACCTGTACTTCAGAATTGATTTGTAAAGAAATTTATGGTTTCAGCAGAAGTAATTTTGTAAAGCCACTGCCTGTTTATAACATCAAATTAATTGATGATGCAATTATTGCAGACCCAAGTGCCTTGGTGGATTCTAGAATAATTTTTGCTTGATGTCCTTTTGGCAATTAGTGGTAAATTGTTGGTGAGTTTTTTAATCTGCTAACATTCAGATAAAGGCAGGCAGCCAGCACTACACTCAGTGAAGTTTCCCATCTGCCTGAGTTTTACAGTATTATTAGGAACAGTGTTATTTTAATTGTGAAAAAAGTGGGAACAGAAAAAAACCCTCTCCTTTTATTATACAGACTTCAATGACTCATTCATCTGGTAAAAATCATTTAAATTGCCTTCCTTTTCTTATGTTCAAGGCTTAAAAAAGAAGAACACACTGACAGTCCTCCTTGACCTGGTTATCTTGTCAAGCCTGCAGTTTGTGCAGTTGCAAGCAAGAGACATCCCTGGATCTGCCTTCTGAGTACAAGATCAGGAATTAAGATTTTAGCGTGCTGTCTCTGAGGGCCAATTCTACCACACTAGCAATAACAGAATGTACAGGAAGAGCTAATGAACATGAGAGACAAAACAAAGGTTTACATTTCCCTTGAATTACAAAGCTCAGCTCAATAAGGGCTCCTCTGTGTCCTGGGAACCTAGGCTGAAGCAGAGTACAGCTGGTGGATGTGCAATTATATTTAACCTTATCCTTTCATGTAGCACTTCTTATCCATAAGTCTCAAAGCTCTTTGGAAAGAAAACTGGTATCATAGTCTCCTTTTCACAGGTAAGGTTGTCTTGCCAAAGATCAGGCAGTGACCTTATGGCAAAATGACAGCTGATATCCAAGCTGCCTGACTTCCAAGTGGTTTAGAACACAGCCCACCAGGCCACTGCCTTCTGTGAAACACCAGTTAGATATGGCTTACGTGTAGGGAAGAGACTGACAAATATCCATAAATGTTAGGCAATTTGCTGTAGATGGGCTGTACTGCTACTGTTGTAAAAAAGCATTTTATTTCCCCTGGCTTATCTCTTCTTGCACAGAGAGTAAATATATATGGTGTATTATTAAAACATGAGAGCACATTAGACTATAGAAAGGATGCATACTGGAAGCATTACTTATGTATGTCTGAGCATGTTTTAGCATCCCCTTGGCTGGTCAGTAGCAATAAAAGTATAACATATATGCCATTTTTCCATGTCAAGCAATAAGATGTGTTGAGTAAAAGTAAAGTGAGGAGGCTATAAAACAAGGATGGTTTCAGTTAAATGTCTAGTGCTTCAATAAGAACATGCTGAACTTGCCTACCAATGCTGACAGGACTTTTCTCAAACCAACTGAACATTGCCAGTTTGGAAAGTCTTTGTTGGGAGTTTTAATAAAACAAGGAAAATTAAATGAAATTAAATTTAAAAAAAAAAGGAAGTGTTGGCTCAGAAGTCTGCAAGTCTCATCAGAAGAAATGATTTGTCACTGCCCAGCTCCTGAGTACAAGGCCAGCCTGTCGGAGGAAATGTAAGGGCAACAACAGACTAACTAAAGGATACACATATAAATCCTGCTCATCATGATTGGCAGCTCCCCAGGAAGTGTGCCCACATTACCCCAAGACAGTTGCTCAGTTCCATACTGATGGTGTGATTCAACCAGCAACGTGCCATTTCAGACACGTGTCTCACTGCTGCTCCCACATTACAGTGGAAGTGCTGCACAGCTGTTGTGCTCTCTACACCTTCACTGAGCTCCAGCAATCAGAGCAACAACTGGGGATTTAGCAAGGATAAAAGGCAAGACATTTTATGTGACAGCAATAACAGAACCACAACAAGCCATGTGGTGTTTGTATCTGAACCCCATTTTAAGTGTGCTAAGCACCAGCACAAATACGGCTGCTGCCACCTGCTCGATGCAGTTTGAACTTGAATATTAGACAAACCATACAGAGCCTGAACTGTCACCATGCACTTTGCATTTTCATGACCTTCACCCACTTGCATATTCTGACAACACCAGAGAGGACTCTGCCCCTTCTATTTCAGTGAGCTGTCCTCAATTAGCCAGTCAGTGGTGTTCCACATTAAGGGAAGTTCACCTTCTAATCCAACCAGTATTTGTTTTGAACATATTCATCTTGTTTACCCGAGGACTTATGCATTCACTTACCTCATATACATCCAAGAAAAGATCAGGATATAAAGTACGTTTCACAAGTCAGATGACCAATTAGAACTGAACTCTAACATCCATTATGATTGAAAACAGACTAACGAGTTAGCCAAGAGGAAAATATTCATAGACTTGGTTTAAAAGCTCCTCAGCATTTCAGATGTGCAGTTCTACAGCTTATATGAATGTTACTCAGATACAGAATTCAAAGACTATGCCCTGCATTTAAAGCATGTTATAGTTCAGAGTCTTACATTCTTAGATAATTACAACCTACACACTCCTTTACTTGACCAGAGCTAAGATCCAGATAGGAAAAAAACAACAGTGAAAGAAAGATGGAAGGATCACATTGCATGTGAAGATATGAAAAAGAAAATAAACATATGATTCCATCTTATTTCTGCAGAAATCAAGCAGTCATGACTTACTGCTTCTGTGCTGCTGCTGAGGGGGTCAACTACAGATTTTCAAACCAGCATCTTGAGCCCATGTCACTCTTCAGGCTTTAGCTTTTCTGGGGAAAAAGGCAATTTAGTTTGTTCTCTCAGCCCACATTCTAGTTTACAGCCAACTGATATACCAGCCACATCTAATTTAGCCAGTTTTTCTCTGGGAACCTATAACCATGGATAGTTACTGATACAGAAATAACTTCTCCAAAGTAAAGCATGCCCAAAGGTACCTAGTTCTTATGAAAAATACTTAACACAGCATCTACTCTGAGAGGCATTTCTCCATGCAGCTTTCTCCTACTATGACTCCAGCAGATAGGATTTATGACCCTATCTCTGACTTTGAAACCTCCTGCACCATTGAGAGCATTGGTCCTTCATGTGTGTCTGACCTGCACCTGACTGCACAGAAGCTTTCTCTTGCACAGCCAGCCTGTTCCAGCTCAACCAAGTCCCTCTTGATTCTAAAAGCTTCAAAGTTAATCCTTATTGATGCCTAGAGAGAGCCAGTCTGAGGAAACAACCCGGCCCTTGCCTGAACTCTGCAGAAGTTGAACAAGAGGATAACTTACCTGTTTTACCTTATCTGCTCAAATGTGTGATCACCTCATTGCCTTCTCATACAGTCATGCAGTAAGTGATACACGTATGAACAAAGGAGATCTACATGTAGCATTCATAAAAGATAACACAGGAATTCCCCTAGTTCACTATAAACATTATTCAGCTTCCTCTGTGCAGCTGCATTTCCCTAGTGGGGCTGATTCATAGCTGGGAAAGAAGAACTTGATGCTTCTACTTGTGTGATAAAATCTAATTCAAGTGATGCACTAGCACAATTCCTCAACAATTAATTTCCTCAGTGTTTAAAACTAAACCCAAATGTTTGTTTCACTCTGCTTCTGGAAGAACTGCACCTTTGTGCATTGCTGGATTTCTGTCTGAAAGACCCACAGGAGGGTTAAACTAACTTCAGGTGAATACATTTTGCAAGGTGGAAGTTTTTGTACTTCTGCAGGCAGGGGAAATTTGATGGCAAAATAAAATTCAGTTTAAATTCTGACAATGAGAAACAGAAGAAAGCACAAGGAAATGAATCTGTGCCTTTATATTTAAATTACCACTTCAGTGCAGTCAGACTTGCAGAAAAAAGTAAGCTGTATGTACCATGTCAGCTAAGCAAAAGACGTATGTAAGATGTTAGTTTCCAAAGTAAATAAGACTTAAGGAAGCAAGACAGAAAAAAAGGTTGAGGATAAAACCTAACAACGGTAATGACAGTCTAACAGAAAATGTGTGCTAAGAGCTTCAAAATATGCAGCTAAAATATCACTGCCTTTCTCTCTTTTTTTTTTGTAGCATTTCTCTGTATGTGAATTGAGAATGGACAAGAGTAAACAGACATGGAGACTAACACAAACACATTTAGAGCAAATTAAGCAGAGACCTGTGGGCAAAATTGTGAAACAATACCTGTTGGACAAATTCATAGGCTATGCACTCCAAAGGCAGACACAGGATTGAAGTGTGCAAACTTACCCACATATCTCATTTTATGTTCAATTTTGAATATTTCAGCAAACTTCCAGATTTTCTTGGGGTCAGATATATCCAGAATATGCAAGAAAATATTCTAGAGTACCAAAAAAAAAAAAGTTACAGCCAACAGGGACAGTGAAGGGACCCTTCAGGACCCTTCACTGTTAAGACCTCTCTAGGTGAAAAGGTATTCAAACAGTATGAAAAAATCTTATCTCCAGAACACAAGTAATACACTTAGGTTAACATAGACAACTGGGAGTTCTAATTCTAGTCCTTAAAATATGCATAGTCACGTGCATCCAGTGTTTGACCATCCTCATGGTAAAACAAACAGATCCTATTATCTAGTCAGAATTTTTCCCTGTTACAATATGTGTCTGCTGCCTCTTGTCCTTTCACTGCAGACCTCCAAGAGAAGCATGAGAATGCCTTCTCTACACTGTCCCATCTCACACCTGTAGACTATAGCAAGACACATCTCAACCTTCTCTTAACACTGAGCAAAACCAGCCCTCTCAGCCTCTCTTTGCGCATCACACATCCATGTCCCTAGTCACCCTGGCAGTTGGACTTGCTCCAGGACATCAATGACTTCCTCATTCTGAGTAACCCCAGACTGGGCACAGGACTCCTGCTGTGGTCTCACAAAGGCTTAACACAGACGAAGATGCCCTTCCCTCAGCCTGCTGGCCACAGTCATTTTCACAGAGCCTGAGGTGTGGTTGGCCTCCCTCGCCCCAGGGCGCACAACACTAGGTCCTTCTCTGCAAAGCTGCTCTCCAGCCAGCCCATCCCAGCCTGTACTGCTCTGTAGTGTTACTCCACCCCAGGGCAGGCCTGTGCATCTGCTCCTGGTGAACTTCATGAGGTTCACATCAGCCCAGTTCCTCACCTGTCAAATCCTTCTGAGCAGCAGCCTGGCTCTCCAGCTTCCCCCCTGATCTGAGATCATCTGCATTCTGGCAAGCACTGTGCTTCACTCCATCACCCAAGTTGTTAAGAGACATTCAACAGCTTTTGCTCCTGCATTGACTCATCAGGGATGACACTAAAATATTGTTAACAGATCAGCTCTGTACTGCTGATTGCCACTTTCTGAGCCATATGTTCCACATAGTTTTCCACTCAGCTTGTCATCCACCAGTTCAAATCACATCTCTCCAAACTGGCTACAAGGATACTAGAGCAGACCATGTAAAAGCCTTGGCAAAGTGAAGGAGAAGTGGCAAGCACTGCTCTCCTCTTGTCCATAGTCAAGAGTCATCTCACCAATGGCAGAGACCAGGATGGTCAGGACAGGTTTGCCCTTGATAAATCTACACTTTTGTTCTTAATCATGTTCCGATATTCCATGGGGATTCGCTACATGGTTTTCCTGGAGAGCAAGGTGAGGCTGACCAGCCTGTACTTCCCTAAATCCTGCTTGCCTTTTCTGGAGATGAGTGGTTTCCCTTTTTCTGGGCAACAGGAAGCACCTCCTGCTTTGAGGAGGTTTCCCTGGAAGATAACCACCTTTTTCCCAAGTAGTTTGCTCTCCACGGCTGTCTCCCCAGGATCCTGCCAACCAGGTCCATATGAAAAAAAAAAAAGGCAAAATCTGCTTTCTTAAAACCAAAGACTAAATGACTGCGCATCCTTCTTGCCTGTCTTGATCTTAAATTCCACAATCTCATGGGCACTTCCACCAGCTATTGAAGACTACTTACTTATAGCAGGCCCAGCAGAGATCATCTCTAGCTGTCTTGTTAAACACTCATAGCAAAACATGGTCCTTGATCCTCTCCAGAAATCTCCTGGATTGTTTATGCCTTTCTGTTTTGCCACAGGTATTGGGGTGGTTCAAGTGCTCCTTGAGTACCAGGACCTGTGATCACAGGGTTTCCCTAGACCTCTAAAAAAGGCTCCATCTACTTCACCAGGAAGTCTGCAGTAGACAGCCACCATGACATCATCCACATTGATCTGACCTCTGTGCTTTATCCATAAACTCTCAACTGGCTCATACATTTCAGAGCAAAGCTCCATGCATTCAAGCCATGCCTTTTCATTGAGCACAACTCCTCCTCCTTGTGTTCCTAGTTTGCCTTTCTAAAAAGGTCTGTATACAACCATTCCACAGCAACCATATCTCTCTTAATTGCAGTGAGATCACAGCTCTGCAACTATGCATGGATTCCTGTGTTTCCTATGCTATGTGTATTCATGTACAGGCACCTGAGATGGGCTTCAGTCATGTTACTTTCACAGGAAAACTGTGAGAGCCTCCTCCATTATGCTGTCAAATGCTAGAAACATACTCACTTTCCCCATGACTCCACTACTCTTGCGGGTTTGGTCACCACCCCTCAGTGAAACCAGTTTAAAGCCCTTCTCAAAGGCAAACCTGAGCTGGTTGCCAAAGATACTTTTGCTTTGCTTTGTCGCTGCTGCTCAGGAAGGCTCATTTCTCAGAGAACGTCAAAGAGATCATAAAGGCCAAAGACAAAATGACAAAGCCCAAAGTGACACCAGCGGCATACTCAGGCGTTAACCTGCAGGGGCCATATGCTCCTACCCAAGCCTTTCTCTTTCACTGGAATGATTTAGGAGAGCACTGCTTGGGCTCTCATGCCCTTCACTCTCTCTAAGCACTCTTGATGAACTTAAGGTCACCCCTCACAATGACATGGATGCCCATGTTGGGCAAGAAGAGGCCCTAGTCTCAGGTCCAGAGAAGCCGCATCAGACTCTCCACAGTACCCTAGATCTGACTGCCCAGAAAGAGACAAGCAGCCCAAGACATCAAGCCAAGACTGCAGATGGGTGCCTCCATTCCCCATGGGAGACAGCCTCCAGCCATAATCACCCATCACTTCCTCCCAGTGCTGACAACCAGTGGTTCAAGCTCATTTGTCTCCAGTACCTACCCTGACAGAACTCGTTCTTCCTCATCTGTTACCATGGCACTATACCTATCTTGTAAATGCACATCTGCAGGCAGAGAATGAACCTGCCTTCTGTTGACAGCAGTCCCAAGCTTCCATTCCTCCTCATCTTGGGAGTCTCTATCCACCACTTATATGAGCATGGCTTCTATCTGTCCCTTCTTCCATGCAATGTGGGGTTTGTGCTCTTCTACTCTCTGCAAAGATCCTGTCAGTCTCCTGTTTCTGTTTCCTATGACTATGCAGCCTGCTCATCTCCTGCTGCCACTTCACCTGGCAGCCTCACACTTTGATGGCAGCAGAACCCAGCCGATGAGGCCACCATCATGCTCTGCCCCAGGCTCAGGAAGAAGTACCAGTCACTCCCTGCTGCCCAGCATCTACCACATCATTTCTCTGGAGCTCTGCTTGGGCCAGGATTCCACATTGCCAGGGGCAGTTGCTCCAGCCATGGCAGGAAAAGCACCCTTTCAGGTGCCCACTCCAGCTGCCTCAGAGTGTTGGGTGCCTTCTGCACACCCTTTCATGCTGCATTAACTGCTAAGTCCTTGTTAGCCACTCTGTGTCACAACAGCCTTGCAGTGCTTTTAACTACTTTGGAAAGGAATGTGGATGCAATAGAATAAAAAAAAAGAAATGGAAAAGCTTGACACAGAGCAAAGTTATAATTTTCTAAACCACTAAAGCTAGAAATATTTCCTCTGTCTAAACATCAAAAACCTTTTACTGTTTGTTAAGGCAATTCTCTTGCTTTTTACAGATTTGTATTCTACCCAGTAGCAGCACAGTGGTATTTATCAGCATACAAAAGGCATGTCAACTCCTACTCTTCTCTTAGATAGCACTTAGCCTCAAAGACTCTCCACAGATAGTCCTATGACGTATCCCAGGAAAAGGCAGCTTTAAAATACTTATGCAGAGGATGTGCTCCCATGCAAAACAACAAATAATCATTAAAGGGCCTCCTGTCTTTCCAAGTTGCTTCTTTAAATACTCATTATACAAGCAAATGAGGTAAGAGAAGAAGCTGAGAAAATTGTAAGACATTATTCCATGCGTATAATTCTGCTTGCCTGAAGATAAAAAACACATGATTTTTTTTTCTCAAGCCGTTGGATTTCAGCTCCTTATTTGAGTTAGGCCAGAATTTTCTCCTTGTAATGTTAATTTCTGTCCAAAAGCTGCTCTGCTGTTTCTAATTTGAGAACTCTCCGAGAGCTTTCTAGTTTTAAAGTTACCACCATTACTGGTACAGAGAAGCTGAAGTTTTCTGGGCAAATGTTCAATATTACAAGTGATTTCAGAGAGTGAAAAGGATGTAAATCAGCACTTATCTGCCTAAGACTGCCACTTTGGTTCAGAAAAAGGACACACAGGCCTGCCCACTATGAAAGTCATGGTAGCAAAGCTTTTTTCAAAATGAGGCCTAATCTCAATGACTAGATCTATTTTTAACATATTAGGAGAACTTTCTAGTTCCCAGTGCATGCCAAATAGATCCAATACAGCACTGAACTTCAACACGTGTTGCTGTGGAAGACAGAAAAAATCTTTGGTGCATACTACAACAGGATCTCTGTTCAGATGATCAGGGAGAGCACGTTAAGTCTAGATACAGCTTGTCAAGTTGCAGATAAAGCATTTCATTATCACCTTGTATTGCTTCCGAATAAGCACTTATAAAGAAGGATGCTCTTGTGCACTCCTTGTACAGCTTGTCTAACTGAATGCTTCCTATAAAAATGCTGTCCCCAGGGTCACGAACAAGTTCTGCAGTGCCCTCATACTCTTTCATGACTAGAGAAACTACAGGTTTGCAGCCTACTGAAAAGTGGAAATGTGGTAATTCTGCTGCTTTTAGGGAAGAAAATTATTGGCCTCAAGTTTTGTTTCACCAAATGACAGAAAACAGAACATGAAGGAGCCTTCAGAGGTCAGACTCACCCCTCTTCCCAGGCTGTCTGACTGCAGCTAGAAAAAAAGATAACACAGATAATCACCAGTCTTACCGTAGCCATGGGATTACATAGTTATAGACAGCTGGAAAGTATTTATTTCTACTTAAGGACTGATCTAATTCACCTTCATTAAAGAACTGAGTGTAATGCTGGTTGTGTTACACTAGGGAGCTGAAACCAATGATCACAAATTTAGTCAATATGGTATCTCTAACCATAAAAAGTCTTCAGAATTTTTGATGCACTCAAAATACTATTACTGGAATCAAAATACTGTGTTCAAGAGCCAAGTCACTACTTAAAATGATGACATCTCTCCATGCAATTGTTGTGGGTTAACCTTAGTAGGCAGTTAAGCCCCATACAACCACTCACTCTCTCCCCTTCCAGTGGGATTGGGGAGAGAATCAGAAGGGTAAAACAGACAAAACTTGTGGGTTGAGATAAAGACAGTTTAATAAGTGAAGCAGAGGTGTGTGTACAAACAATGCAAAATGACAAATTCGATTACTAATTTTCATTGTCAGACAGGTGTTCAGCAATCCCCAGGAAAGCCAAGCTTCAGCATATCCAACAGTGATTTGGAAAGCCAAACACCATAACTGTGAATGTTCCCCCTTCCTCCTTCCCTCAGCTACTATTGCTAAGCACATCATATGGTCTGGGATAGCCCTTTGGTCAGTTGGGGTCAGCTGTCCTGTCTATGTCCCCTCCCAGCTTCTTCTTCATCCCTAATCCACTTGCTGGTTGGGTGGGGTGAGGAGCAGAAAAGGCCTTGATGCTGTGCAGCCACTGTTCAAAAATAATTAAACCATGGTGGTGTGGTTTAAGCTCAGTGGGCAACTCAGCCACACAGCCGCTCTCTCACTCCCCGCCCTTTCCTCCCCCTGCTCCGGGAGGGATGGGGAGGAGAATCAAAGGAATGTAACTCCCACAGGTTGAGATAAGAGCAGTCCAGTAACTAAGGTATGACACAAACCACTGCTGCTACCACCAGTAATAATAAGGAAAATAACAAGGGAAGAGAACACAACCTCTCACCACCCACCAACTGATACCCAGCCCGACCCAAGCAGTGATCTAGCCCTTCCGGGTAACTGCCCCCAGTTTATATAGTGGGCATGACGTGCTGTGGTATGGAATACCTCTTTGGCTAATTTGGGTCAGGTGTCCTGTCTCTGCTTCCTCCCAGCTTCCCCTCCTCTCTGGCAGAGCATGAGACTCAGGAAGTCCTTGGTCAGACTAAACGTGACTTATCATCAACTACAAACATCGGTGTTATCAGCGCTGTTCCCAGGCTGAAAGTCAAAACCACAGCATTGCACCAGCTAAGGAGAAAAATGACTGCTACTGCTGAACCCAGGACACATGGGTTCTCAGCATTGCTTTGGTCACAAATCCAAACCACACCACCATAGGAGCTGTTACGAAGAAAATTAATTCTGTCCTAACCAAAACCAGTGCATCAAGATAGAAAGACAGCAACTGCACTTCTCCATAAGCACACCCTCCTGAATAACTAGCAAAAGCAACAATGACAGCTACAGGGGTATAATGTACAGTGATACACATGAAAGCAAAAATATCTAAAAGAAGGGAGGAGGTAAGGAAGTGATATATAAGAAAAGGAGATGGAAAAGTATGTAGAACATGTAGAATGTAGAACACAGGACTTCACAGAGCAGCCAACCTTAGCAAATCAAGAGCATGTTATTCAGGCACATGAAACCTTCAATTCCAATGCTGTAGACTCATAAATGTTGTTGTAAGAGTGCTGTAATGCATTAACTTTGGAAAGCCTCAGCCACACAGCTAGGAATAGTAAGACATCACAGAACCTATTGATAACAAAAATTAAATAAAACAGCATGCTGACGGTGATGTTCTTAATGACAGAAAACATCATCCAGTGAAATTAAATCACTTCAAACCATATCGATGATAAACTACTAGATATTTCCATGTCCATAAGAAAATACCATTATAAACAAAACAGCAAAAATGATGAAACAGAACACCTCAAGGCCTCAGAAGTCTTTAATATTAACAATATTTCTAAGAGTAAGCAACAGATTGACATACAGCTCACCTGGTTGATCGTTTCCGTCACTGTTTCTCCTCGAAAGACCTCAGCTCATTCCTTACTTCTGCAAACTAGCTGAACCGTGCCACCTGGTGGATTCCAGAAACACAGCTCATCATTCATTACCAACTGTGCTCATCAGCAAAGACGTGTGCAATTTGCAGCCCTTCTTTGGGGTTAGTTTTTGACACAAACCAAATGAAACAAAAAGCGTTTCATGATTGAATTCCAGATTGAGGGAAGCCTACAGCTTGCTAGCAGCAGTAGCAGTACTGGTCAGGTGATCACTGCAACACCATGGGAGCTTCCCAGCAGCAGAACGTTCCTGAGCTCTGCACAGCTAACAGTCCCATTCCTCTGCTGCCAAGAGCTGAGCGATGGCTTTTCATCAATGCTGCTGAAGCTTAGGTCTGCGGATTTCTCAGGGCTCCCATGTCTCCTGCTGATGAACTGGAAGCAGGGAGCTGGTTAGAGCCATAGCAACATTTAGCAGTCCCAGGTCCAACAGCCTTGGGCTGTTCTCAGAAACAAATTCCCCCTAAAAAGCACTGTTCCAGCTGTACCATCAGGCAGAGAAGACACACCAAAAATACCAATGAGGTCTGTCCAGAGACTTCAAATGAACAGTTTAGGACACCAGGAGTGGATGTAATAGGAAAGCTGTGAGATTTCTGCTTTCTGCTGGGATGGAATTATTTCTCCCCATAGCAGCCCTCATGGGGCTATGCTTTTATTTTCTCCCCACCTTGTAGTGTTGGGGAGGGGAGTGACAGAGCTACTCGGTGAGCACCAGATGTCCAGCCAAGGTCAACCCACCACAGCCCTTTTTGGTGCCCAGTGTGGAGCTTGAGGATTTTCAGATTGGGATAGTAATTGGGAGAGATAACAGGCAAAACATAGAATCATAGAATAGTTAGGGTTGAAAAGGAGCTTAAGATCATCTGAAGAATTTCTGTTGTAATTGTGGTGAAGGAACGAGAGGTGGATTGCCTGTGTAAGTTGCCCATTTCTATCCAATGTTATGATGATATTTTGATTTTCAGGTGGGGAGTACTTTTTCTTTGGCAGGACCTGTGGTCCCATGGAGAGAGGAGCCTACATTGGAGCAGGTTTGCTGCAGGACTTGTGGCCCTGGTTGGGACGCACACTGGAGCAGTTTATGAAGAACTGCAGCCTGTGGGAAGGACTCATGTTGGAGTTCGTGGAGGACTGTATCCTGTGGGAGAGACTGGAGCATGGAAGGGTGTGAGGAGGAAAGAAGCAGCAGAGACAACATATGATGAACCGACCACAACCACCACTCCCCATCCCCCTGTGCAGCTGGGGGAAGAGGTAGAGAGTTCAGAAACAGAGTCAAAACTGGGAATGTAGGGGTGGAGGTGGGGGAGGGGGTGTGCTTTTAGTATTTGGTTTTATTTCTCATTATCCTACTCTGATTTGATTGGTAATAAATTAAACTCATTTCCCCAAGTCAAGTCTGTTTTGCCGATGACGGTAATTGCTGAGTGATCTCTCCCTGTCCTTATTTCAGCCCATGACCCTTTCATTGTATTTTTTATTCCCCCGTCAGTGGAGGAGGGCAATGATAGAGTAGCTTTTGTGAGCACGTGGCCGTGGTTAACCCACCACAACTGGGCATGCTGCTGATACAAGCAACAAACCTCAAGGCTCTTCTGAAACTCTTCAGTTCTCCCCTGCACTGACAGAGTTGGCTGGGTTGCTTTTACCAAGTGCACAGCTGCAGGCAGTGGTGCGAAATTCCCAGATCTGGGATAACCATACAGATAACCCTAATAAATGTTTGTGTTACACATACACCATACATGGAAGGGACCATGCACAGACAGGCACTGAATATATACAGATCAGAATGAAAGACAGTCTTTATCCAAGGGAAAACAGATTTCATGAGTGAGAGAAAAGACAAGCAACCAGAAGGTGCAGTGTCCAATGCTCGCTTCTTTGGACATTCTCAGAGTGACTGAAAGCTTCATTGCAAAGGAGGGCTTTAGTTACAGACCTTACAGCAGTTCAGGATGCGTGTTTACAGGTTTTTTAGAAATACCTCCTGAATAACAGGGCACAGCACAAGTTATGCACGCAGGTACAAATCAAACACATGGAATCTGGCCTTCAAGCTGATCAGAAACATTCTCATAGAATCACAGAATAGTTAGGGTTGGAAAGGACCTTAAAATCATCTACTTCTAACCCCCCTACCATGGGCAGGGACACCTCCCAGTAAACCATGTCACCCAAAGCTCTGTTCAACCTGGCCTTGAACACCTCCAGGGATGGAGCATTCACAACTTCCTTGGGCAACCCATTCCAGTGCCTCACCACCCTTACAGTAAAGAAACATCTAAACTTCTCCTGTTTAAGTTTTAACCCATTACCCCTTGTCCTATCACTACAGCCCCTAATGAAGAGTCCCTCCCCAGCATCCTTGTAAGCCCCCTTCAGACACTGAAGGCTCCTATGATAGTCTGCTATGTATAGTCTACAGCAGAAAACATTCTATGAGAAGAGGTTGGTTTTAAGGGCTTTGAGTATGAACTCTTTTCTTGCTGTTAAAGAGAGAAGAGAGTTTTGGTGTGACCTACAGGCCAAGAGATTGATTTATATTTATTTTCCATGGTAAAGATTGAAAATATTTGAACTTAAACAATACATGGGAATTGTCAGAGTGGTTGGGAGAAGACTGCATCAAACTGGAAGTGCAGTTCACAGACATACAAGAGAGCCCAAATCTGCAATACCATGAGACACCAATTCAGAGAAAAATTGAACTAAAAAAATTGTCATCAAGACGTCATTATTTACAGAGATCGAGACAACATATTACAGAGATTTACAGTGCTTGAAGGTAAAGCCAGCACAGCTTGGTCATTCTGCTGCTGAATCAGAATTCCTTATATTCTTGTCATGATATACTTGAAGAGATTCAATGAGAAGACAGAGACGCAAAAACTGATGCCAAGTTTCAGAGCCACATGTTCAAGGACAGGATCAGGAACATATTGTTAAGTCATTTTAGCTTTATATGTACAGCAACACCCACAAAAGGTATCAGACAACTAATCTGTGCCCATAGATGTTCTTTGAGCTCCTGACATGAGACATGGTGGCCAAAACCTATAGAGATCCAGTTGGTCTGACAGCTTGCAAAACATGGCAGGCACATCCGGTCACCAGACAAAGCAATAATTACATAAGTCTATTACATGTAATAACAGTATTGGGAACCTGAAAATCAGTCACATCCTGGCACTGATGGGGATCTTCAACCCAAAGGCTCTTTGGTGCTAATAATTTTGAATTAGTTTAATTTAACTGAGTCACCATTTTCCTTCATAATATAGTTATGAAGCCTAAGCATGAAAAAAGAGCAAAAAACCACAAGCTCCTCCTTTTTATTCTACATGCCAAAACTCCTATCACTCTTTCACAACAGGAATTATTTTGTCAACTCTGAAAGAGATTGGTTTTATCCTTCAACAGTAGCTAGTTCCAGTTCATACCATTTCCTTGGTTACAGTGAGCAACAAAAAATGCTTGCCTATAATCAGTTAAAGTGCACAAACTGCAGATTATCATCACGATTGAGCACAACTATGTTGTTTCTTTCATACTCTCCAACCTCACTTTAGCACAGCCAATTGTTTTCTTTCATCCTAAGATACATTTGTAAGTTCTTCAAAACAGTCCAAATTCATTCAAGCTGCTGCTTGTACCAAATCAGTCCTAAGTGGGCCTTGATTCATCACCAGCATCCTTAGATGCCACTGTAACATAGTTTCAGTAAACATGCACTTGATAAACACTTTGAAGACCCTTTCCACTAACTTGGTTTCATTATTCTCATTTTCATTGCACTGCTTATGCTTAAACCTCTAACCCATGCTAACAGCCCTGCAAAATAACACACCTGATCCCTCATCCCAGGGAACTGTGTCTTTGCGTTTTCACTGAAAGGCCAAACCTGCTTCCTTCCACCTTCTCCATTATGGCTCCTCAGGCCCCTCATTACGGCCTCACCTCCCCTCGCTGTCTCTTTGACTGTGGCCCTACCAATGCCACACTTTGCACCAGTGACCAGAAAGGACCTTCCAGCCCGATCACCTCCACGCCAGCTGGACTGAAGTGCTTGGAAGCATACTCATAGCTGGTCTTGAATAAATCAGAGTTACCTGTGAAAAACAAGAGTACTTCCAAAGAAACCCAGAGAAGAATTGAAAAGCACCTCCCCTCACACCTCAGCATATGTGAAACACCTCCCCTCTCCCATTACCCTCCATACCCATGGGACAGATCACATACAGTGCCAGGGACTCTAAGGAGCAATGCAGTAACAACTGAAGGTGTTTGCCTACCACAAGCCACAGCCCAAAGGCTGATGCTCATGAGGGCTGTGGGCTCTCGCAGGTAAAGCGTTGAGATCACTCCACCCTGGTAGGGCTCGGCATGCTTTGATTAAGAGCACTTAAAACACCAAGCCACCTGGAAGCGCTTAAAAGCCCGCGGACGCACAGAAACGCCCTAGCCCGGCCGAAGCGCCCGCCTCATCGCTGCCCCGGGTGAGCTGCCGCCTGTACCTCCTGCACCCCCGCACCCCCGTCACGAACCACAGGGCGTTGCGGTACCAGGACGTGGTGTCGCTGCTACCAGAGAGGTGCTGGCCCCTCTTCCGCCCTTATGTAAGGCTCCGGGACCGGACCGGACCGGACCAGCCCTGCCCGCCCGCCGTCACTATTGCTGTCTGGGTTTATCAGCAAGAAACAGTGTGAGTGACGGTGATGTGCGTCTGTGCGGGGAGTTGTGCCTGCTTCATCCCCCTAGCGGTGGGGTTGGTGTCTCTTATCCCTTCCATTTCCCTCTCTTCATTCACCAGCAAAGAAAGGTGGCTGCTGTTAACCACCCGGCCTGGGTGCCTCCAGCCAGCCTGGCATTCAGCCCCTGGCTGCATTAGCCACTACCATGCTGGAGACTGCTGTGCCTGGTGAAGGTGGTGGCTGAGGAAGGAAGGACGGAAGGAAAGTTTTCCAGGGTTTCTGCTGGGAGCAGGTGCTGCTGCCAATCAAGCCAGGGCAGGAAATGGGGTGTCATGTTTTGGGAATGGGGAGCAGTGCTACAAGACCTGGGCCTGCACCCTCCGCTCTGGAAAGCTGTCAAAGGGATGCTCTTGCAGAAACATAACCAGTTGTGTTGGGCCACACCAAGTACCATTTTATGTAACAAATAAACTTGTTAAATTCCTGGCTCTTACTAATGGGATAAAGTATGCCAGTAGGAAAGGGCTATTGCATTAGAGGGAGTGAAATTTAACATGTTGTTTCAATTCCTCTGGTATGTGTGTTGGAGCTACAAAGCCCAAGAGGATCACTTAGAGCTGCACATCTGGACAGCCATATTAGCCATGAGAAATTATCATTGTAGGTAATATTATGGTTTAAGTACATTAGAGGACTATGCATTTAAAAAATTCAGTATCCAAGCTGGATAAATTAATGTATTTTACGTGGTATCCAGGGCAACATGCAGAGAAGCTACTTTGGGAGCCAGGTTTCAGTAGCAGAGGGAGGGGAGGAATGAGAATATTCTTTTTGACCCTGTACATTAGCCTGATACTTCTTTTTTCTAAATCCCTTCACGCTGGCAAACGCCTCGTACTAAAGTCTTCCACTTTCTCAGCATGTTGTGTGAGTACTAGGCTCACACAAAAGGTACTTCCCCCTATGAAGTTAAACCTTTTGAACTCAGCACTGCCCACTGGTACTGGGTGTTCTGTGAGAAATCAGTTTCCAGAGGGCAAAGACACACATTTTCACAGTGATATTTTCTTCCATTCAGAGACCATCCGGCTAAATGTCACCTTTGCATGAAACCTGAAAATGCTTGTTTTTATTAAAACAGTTGAAAGAATTTATTTAAAACCAGCAGCCTGAGTCACTTTAAACTGATTTTGTGCTTGGAGTTTGTGACTGAAGTGTTCCTAAACAATTCATCCTGGGTCTGATGTTTGAAATGGGGACTTCTGGCCCAGAAAGGAACAGCTTGGAAATAGTATGAGTGGCAGAATGTTATATGCTATAATGGAAAATGAATGGCAGCCTGAACTACAGTACATTCTATTATGTCTGTAAGTATATAACTGTGATCTATAGGAGCTATATGGAAATCTTTTTGTGATCATCATCTACAACATGCAATTAGCAACCTAAACTGTACAGCCTAGGCTGCTATAATGATGTTAGATAATCGCACTCACTGTGAAGAGAGCAGATGTTCAGCTTGTGTGAGTCCTGCTTACAGGCTGTGACAATACTCCTTCTTCCCATTTTCAGTCCCTTGCCCTGCTAGCCCTTCAGCTTCTCCTTATCCCTCACAGCCTGTGCAAGTCTGTCTGGTTACTTTCTTTGAACCCTGGCTCAGGGAAAACACATAGCAGGGAAAAACCAGATAATTCTGGGGGCATGCCTGTTGCTATGAGTATCCAGGCAGAAAACTGCAGTGCTGCCTCACATTTCCATGCTAGTTAGAGAATGTCTCACCTTGGGCTTTGTAACCCTCGGTATATCTCAGTGTGCTGTTAGGAGAACAACAATGTTCCACAGTTGCTTATGCCACAGAATTAGCTGCATTCCTTACAGGAAATGTGGTTTTAGCTTGAGAAAACATTAGCAAACCCCATACAGAATAAAAACCCTGTAGAAGTTCCTGTGAATAAATGCAATAAGCCAGGTTGTGCTTTATTCCCTTGTCATTTCTACATTTACCCTTTATTACGTTTCTACATTTCTTTATCGCGGAGACTGTGGCTTAGTACAAGCAAGTTTGTCATTTCAGTCTTTTCCTCGTAAACTGGGGGTACATCCCTGCAGTCTGCTGACCTCTGAAAGTAAATGAGGTGTATGCAGACACAGAATTCCTTGCAGGCTAAACCATTTGGTCTCTAATCAGCAAGGTGTTAGTGTGTCCCTGAAGTGCTAACCAGTGAGTATGCATGACAGAAGCTGGCCATGAGTCAAACATAAAAATACATTAGAGCAGCTCATAATACTGGGGGGGTTAAGCAGTAATTGCCAAATACACCATATTACTTTTATTAATGTTAGAGAAGATAAGATTGTTAGGAAGACATCTGAATGTAAGGTTGGGAACCAGCATCACTCTGGTAAATACACAATTTTCTCTGAGAACATTACATAAATGTAGCACCACTACCATGATGTTAGCCATACCCTTCCAACAAATGCTCCATTTTCAGGAGATTTTGTAAATACTGAGAAATGATGCCCTTGCCAGAGTGCAACAATCCCTGAACACACTCAGCTGAGAGTTTTCTGCTTAGAAACACTTGTTTTTTTCCGTAATGAGGGCCTAAGCTTGCACCCAGAAAGGACTCATCACAGCACTCTCTCTGAACAGAGCCACATCAAAAGCAAGAAGTTGCAGACTGCCCTAGAGTGACAGCTAGATGTTTCTGCAACCTTTTTTCACACCCTGTGATGTTTTGCTTTTGTATTGTTCCAGAGGCAGGAGACTGTAGAGTTTGTGTGGGTGCTCTCTGCTAATCCAGCCATAACAGGGATGAGGCAGTATGGCTTGTGTGCAGCAGGAAGGTAAGACGTAGTTTTGTGGGCCTGCCTCACAGTACTGTCACAGGCAAAATTTCTGCCTACATCAAAACTTTTGGCTGCACATTGCCTTTTGTACTGAATCCTCCACTGATACACCCTGTTAGCTGGGTTAGAATCCATTCTGGAGGTTTGGAAATTTGGAAACCTACAGCTTTTGTTTTCTTTCATGATTGTTACTTGCTTAGCATCAAACTCTGATAGGACACTGCTCTGAATGGCAGGGATTCTTTTAAACAAGGAATTCTCATTGACTGGCAGCCAAAATCTCAGATAGTTACCACAGCCAGCAACTGACATATATGTGTAGCCTGGCTTCCATATGGAAGGAGCTGGATCAAGAGAGCCACAGTTCTGTCAAGCTCCTGGCATTTCCCTCATCTGAGCACAGAACAAAATGGCTTCACCCTGGCTAAACACAACCCAGTGTTCAGCCCTGATAAAACATACTGAAGTTAACTGTTCCCCTTGAGGACTATAACGCTCCAGGTGTATCTATGCTATCAAATAACTCATAGCATATTCCCAGATTGTGATCCTCTTATCACCTGTAGTAGGCAAACAAATGTTGATGCCTAGGCTCTCTTGAAGTATTAAACAGATGGTTCTGTCCAAAAGAAGCTCAAAGTTCCCTGGGGGGATAGTTTGCTCAAGGAATCATTGGTTCCCAAGCACTGTGGATGAGACTGCACAGCTTGACTTTGCATTGGTGATCCTGCATTCAGGTAGATGCATTTACCAGTGCAGAAATAGCCCCAAAGTCTGTTATGCAGGCTGTCCATCAATGCAGATAATCCTCAAGGCAAATCAAAAGTCTGGAGTGTTGTGACTGAGAGCTTTCAGGTATTATGCTTTTTCATACAGTAATGAATTGAGAATCGCAGTATCTGCTTAAGATACAAGAGCTGATGAAAAATCCCTCTCTGGCCCCCAGCTGGACTAACATGAAAAACACACTTTAGACTGCATCCATCTTTGTACCCGTCAAAGAGCAAGGAGTTTTAAGCAAAGTTTTAATTGCCTCCCAACACAGAAGTTGAAAATACTGATTGCTGTTAAGGGCTGTGTGTTTCAGCATGTTTTGTATTTTCTTCCCAGGGGACAGATCTAGAAAGGTAGAGTACTTGAGCTGAAAAGCAATTATATATTATACAAGATGTTTAAGAGCAGCTTCAAGGCCATCTTGCCAATCTCTTTTATTATCCTTTATTTAAGAGAGAGTAGAGGCTAAGATCTCTGTCTTAAGGGCAACTGTTTCCTTTGCTTGCCTCCTACCAGAGAGCTGGCAGGCTGTCGTGCATTCTCTCCTTTCCTTGCAGTTACCAATTTTCTAATTAAGTCTCTGTGCCTGCCCCCATTAAATCAATCAGAATGTCACCACTGATTGCAGTGGGAACAGGATTTAAGGGCCAGATCTGCATGAAAGCTCAGTGTCTATAATGGTGGCCAGGATTTCAAAGGAAGTAGCAATCACATGCAAGCCACTGTTGCTGTGAGAGCCTCTCCCAACCCTGCATTTGCCATGCTGGCCTCAGCTTTGGGTGCAAAACACTTGAAACCTCCAGCTTTAGAAACTAGTGCTGCCCCAGTGAGTGCAGTAGCAATTAAGAGCTGTCAGCAGCCTGGGGAGAGGCAGTCGGCACTCCTCCTTTCCCTGGCTGAAGCAGAGGGTTTGGCAAGTGGTTGAAGAGGAACATCCAGGCCCTGAGGTCGCAGGGACATGCCTAAAGTGTTTCTGCTAGGAGCAGGGTGAGAGAAGCAAAAGCTCCTCATCCTGAACGCAGAGAGGGGTCACAGTTCTGGCGTGTGTGGTGTCTTTATGAACAGTAGGGTATTTTCTTTGTTGTGTGCTTTTACACCCAAGTCATCACTACATCTGCCAACCACTGTCATCAGCAGTGTTGTTTCCAATGAACATTCAGGCTTTCCCCAAACCAAACAGCTTTCTGCTCTTGAGAAACAAATGTGGCAGTATGTCATCAGCTCAGCTCAATCACTCCTTTTCACTAAGGGGCCAGTAAAAA